GGGTTTTTTTCAAATTTGTGTATCTGTTGAGGTTTGCTTTGTTGCCTAGTATGTGCTTGATTTTAGAGAAGGTTCCATGTGGCTCTGAGAAGAAGGTATATTCTTTTGTGCTTGGATGGAATGTTCTATAAATGTCTATTGAATCCAACTTAGTCATAACTTCTGTTTCTTCCTTTATTTCTTTGCTAAGTTTCTGTCTTGTCATCCTGTTATATGATGAGAGTGAGTTACTGAAGTATCCCACTATAAGTATGTGTAGTTTTAACTGTGATTTCAGTTTTAGTATTGCTTCTTTAATGAGTATGGGTGCCTTTGGATTTGGGGTATAAGTGCTAAGAATAGCGACTTCATCTTGATGGATTTTTCCTGAGACAAATATGAAATAACCTTCTTCATCTTTTTTGATTAATTTTAGTTTGATGACTAATTTGCTAGATGTTAGGATAGCTACACCAGTTTGTTTTTTTAGGTCATTTGATTGGAAAACCTTTTCCCAACCCTTTATGCTAAGGTAATATCTGTCTTTGAAGTTGAGGTGTGTTTCTTATATGCAGTAAAAGGATGGATTCTTTCTTCATATTCATTCTGTTAGCCTGTGTTTTTATAGGTGTATTAAAGCTATTGATAGCAAGGTTTATTAATGACCATTGATTGTTTATTCTTGTTAGTTTTGGATTTGATGTAGGTGGTGGTGGTATTCTGTATATGTTTCCCTTTTCTGGGTTTGCTAATGTGGGATGATATGTTGTCTATGTTTTTGTGACTGTACCTAACTTCCTTGAGTTGGAATTTCTTTCTAATAATTACTGTAGGGCTGGATTTATGGGTATGTACTGTTTAAATCTGGTTTTACATGGAATATCTTGTTTTCTCATCTATAGTGATTGAGCGCTTTGCTGGATACATTAATCTGAGTCAGCATCTGTGGTCTCTTAGTGTTTAGAATATATTTCCAGGACCTTCTAGCTTTTAGAATTTCCATGGAGAATTCAGTTGTAATTCTAATAGGTCTGCCTTTATGTTACTTGGCCTTTTGCCTTTGCAGCTCTTAATAGTGTTTCTTTATTTTTGTTTATGTATTTGTTTTTTCAAGACAGGATTTCTCTGTAATGCTTTGGAGGCTGGCTTCGAACTCACAGAATTCTGCCTACCTCTGCCTCCCGAGCTCTGTGATTAAAGATATGAGCCACCAGAGTCTGGCAATATTCTTTTTTTATTATGTATGTTTGTTTGTTTGTTTGTTTTATTACTATGTGGTGAGGGGACTTTATGTTTTTTTGATCCAGTCTATTTGGTGTTCTGTAAGCTTCTTGTACTTTCATAGGCATGTCCTTCTTTAACATGGAAAAATTTTCTTTTATATGTTTTTTGAAGATACTTTCTGGTCTGTTGAGCTAGTTCTCTAAACTTCTTTTATACCTATTATTATTGGGTTTGGTTTTTTCATGGTGTCCCATATGTCCTGGATATTTTGTGTTAAGGATTTACATTTTCTTTGACCAATCAACCTATTCCCTCTATCCACTCTTAAGTTAAGGGGCATCTAGTTTGCTTCCAGACTCTGGCTATTACAAATAGTGCTGCTATAAACATAGTTGAGCAGATGTACTTTTTGTATGAGGGTACATCATTTGAGTATATGCCTAAGAGTGGAATTGCTGGCTCTAGGATCAGGCTGGCAGGAAGGCTTCTCTCAAGAAAAAGGCTTCCCTTTACAAAGATGGTATCTCATAGTTGTTTTGATTTGCATTTCTCTGATGGATAAGGATGTTGAGCACGTTCTCAAGTATCTCTTGGCCATTTTAGACCTCTCTATTGAGAATAGTCTAAGTCTGTACCCCACTTTTTAGTTGGATTCTTTGTTGTTCTGGAGACTTGCTTCTTGAGTTCTTTGTAAATTTTGGAGATCAGCCCTCTGTCAGATGTTAATATCTTTTCCCATTCTGTGGGCTGTTATTTTGTATAGTTGACTGTGTCCTTTGCCGTGCAGAAGCTTCTCAGTTTCAAGCGGTCCCATTTATTGATTGTTAATCTCAGTGTCTGTGCTACTGGTGTTATGTTCAGGAAGCAGACTCATGTACTAATTCATTCAAGGGTACTTCCCACTCTCTCTTCTAAAAGATTCAATGTGGCTGGCTTGATATTGAGGTCTTTGATCCATTTGGACTTAAGTTTTGTACATGGTGATACATACAGATCTATCTATTGTCTTTTACATGCCAACATCCAGTTACTCCAGCACCATTTGTTGAAGATGCTATTGTTTTCCATTGCATAGTTTTAGCTTCTTTGTCAAAGATCAGGTGTTCAAAGGTGTGTGGGTTGATATCAGGGTCTACCTGTCTGTTTTTGTGCCAATACCAAGCTGTTTTCAGGACTATAGCTCTATAATAGAGCTTGATGTCAGGGATGGTGATGCCTCTGGAAGTTCCTTTGTTGTACAGGGTTGCCTTGACTATCCTGGGTCTTTTGTTTCTCCATATAAAGATGAGGATTGTCCTTTCAAGTTCAGTGAAAAAATTGTGCTGGTATTTTGATAAGGATTGCATTGAATATTTAGATTGCTTTTGGTAAGATTGCCATTTTTATGTGGTTGCTCCTACCTATCCAAGATCATGGGAGACCTTTCTATTTTCCGGTATCTTCTTAATTTCTTTCTTTAAAGACTCAAGTTCTTGTTATATAGGTCTTTTACCTGTTTGGTTAGAATTATGCCAAGATATTTTATGGCATTTGTGGCTATTGTAAATGGTGATGCTTCTCCGATTTCTTTCTCATCCCCATTATTGTCTATGTATAGTAGGACTACTGATTTTGTGAGTCAGTTTTGTATCCTGCCACTTTGCTGAAGGTGTTTATCAGCTGTAGGAGTACCCTAGTAGAATTATTTGGGTCACTTAGGTAGACTATCATATCATCTGCAAATAGTGAAAATTTGACTTCTTCCTTTCCAATTTGTATCCCCTTGATCCCCTTTTGTTGTCTTATTGCTCTAGCAAAAACTTCAAGTACCATATTGCAGAGATATGGAGAGAGTGGACATCCTTGTCTTCTTCCTGATTTTAGAGGAATCACCTTTAGTTTCTCTCCATTTAGTTGATGATGTCTGTTTGTTTTATGTATATAGCTTTTATTAATTTTAGGTATGTTCCTGTTATCCCTAATCTCTCCAAGACCTTTATCATAAAGGGGTGTTGGATTTTGTCAAAGGAATTTTCAGCATCTCATGACATGATCATGTGGTTTTTCTTTTTCAGATTGTTTTTATGCTGGATTACATTGATGGATTTTCACATGTTGAACCATCCCTGCATCTCTGTGATGAAGCCTACTTGATCATGGTGTATGATTTCTCTGGTGTGTTATTGGATTCGATTTGCTAGTATTTTTTGAGCATTTTTACATCAATCTTCATGAGAGAGATTGATCTGTAATGCCCTACCTTGGTTGTGTATTTGTGTGATTTGGGTATTAAGGTAATTTTAACCTTGTGAAAAGAATTTGGCAGTGATCTTTCTGCTTCTATTTTGTGGAACAATTTGAAAAGTATTGGTATTCGCTCTTCCTTGAATTTTTGGTAGAATTCTACACTGAGACCATCTGCCCCGGACTTTTTTTTTGTTGTTGTTGGAAAACTTTCTATGGCTGCTTCTATTTCTTTTGGTGTTGTAGACCTGTTTAAATTGTTTATCTCTTTATCTGTAAGTGATATCTATTCAGAAAACCATCCATTTCCTTTAGATTTTCCAATTCAGTGGAGCACAGACTTTTAAAGTATGACCTGATGATTCTTTGGATTTCCCCAGTGTCTGTTGTTATGCCCCCTTTTTATTTTCTAATTTTGTTAATTAACATGTTCTCTGTCTTTTTGTTAAGTTTGATAAATGTTTGTCTATCTTATTGATTTTCACAAAAATTAGCTCTTTGTTTCATTGATTCTTTGTATTGTGATCTTTGTTTCCACTTTATTGGTTTTAGCTCTCAATTTGATTATTTCTTGGTGTCTATTCCTCCTAGGTGAGTTTGCTTCTTTTTGTTCTAGAGCTTTCAGATTTTCTGTTAATACTCTAGGGTGGCAATTCTCCAGTTTCTTCATATGGGTACTTAGTTCTATGAATTTTCCTCTTAGAACTGCTTTCAAAGTATCCAAAATGTTTTGGTATATTGTGCCTTCATTTTCATTGAATTCTAGGAAGTCTTTTATTATTTTTATTTCTTTCTTTACCCAGGGGTGATGCAATTGAGTATTTTTCAATTTCCATGAGTTTGTGAGGTTTCTGCAATCTGTGTTGATGTTGAATTCTAATTTTAAACCATGGTGGTCTGACAGGATACAGGGGGATACTACAATTTTTTTGTATCTGTTGAGGTTTGCTTTGTTGCCAAGTATGTGTTTTATTTTAGAGAACACTCTGTGTGGTGCTGACAAGAAGGTATATTCTTTTTTGTTTGGGTGCAATGTTCTATGGATGTCTATTAAACCCAATTGGGAGATAACTTTTGTTAATTCCATTGTTTCTTTGTTACGTTTCTGTCTGGTGGACCTCTCCAGTGGTGACAATGGGGTGTTTAAGTCTCTCACTATAAGTGTGTGGCATGTAATATGTGATTTGAGTTGTAGTAATATTTCTTTTATGAATGTGGATGCCTTTATATTTGGAGCATATATGTTCATAATTGAGATTTCTTCCTCATGGATTTTTCCTATGATGACTATGAAATGACCTTTTTCATCTCTTTTCATTAATTTTAGTTTGATATTAGGATAGCAATACCCTCTTTCTTTTTATGTCAATTTGATTGGATAATCTTTTCCCAACCCTTAAACCTTGAGGTGGCTTCGGTCTTTGAAATTGAGGTGTGTTTCTTGTATGCAGCAGAAAGCTGGATTCGGTCTTCGTATCCCTTATGTTAGCCTGTGTCTTTTTATAAGTTAAGCTATAACTTGTTTGCTTTGGATCCATTTTTGGTGGTTTTATGTGTGAGTTTTTCCCCTATTTAAAAATATGCAACGCTTCATGAATTTGCATGTCATCCTTGTGCAGAGGCCATGCTAATCTTCTCTGTATCATTCCAATTTTAGTTTATGTCCTGCCAAACACACAAACTTGATGCAATTTACATTTTTTGATAGAGATGGCACTAAACATTAGTAACATTAATGAAAAAGATAAAGAAAGAAAACACTATTTAAACAAAAATTGTATTCAATTCAGCTCACAGAAAATTTGTGTGCTTTGAAATTTCTGTATTTAGCCCGGCTTACTAATGGGCTTTGGGATACCATTCTACATGGAGGTATGCTCTGTCAGTCTAGACACATGGGGGAGGGCCTAGACCCTGCCTGGAATGATATGAAAGACTTTGAAGATTCCCCATGGAGGGCCTCACCCTTCCTGGGGAGCAGAGGAGGGATGGAGTGGGGATTGGAAGTGTTGGTGGAGGACATGGGAGGAGGGTAGGGTGAAGGAGCTGAGATTAGTCTGGCAATCAAGCTTGTTCCTAATTTAAATAAAGAAAAAAAATAAATTTTTATCATAATCACCTATACTTTTCAATTCTAAATATTTTGAAATAGAAATAACATCCAAATAATGCTCATTCATTTTTTTTTTTAGTATTCAAATGGTTTTCTGGTAAAAATGCAAGGCTCATGCCAAAGTTCAAATAGATCATGCAAATTAAATTTTATTGTAAATAACTTTGTGTGAGTTGAAATGATTAGAAATTAACATAAAATATTTTGTATAATTGATTTATGCATAACAGGGTAATGAGATTTATAATCTAATTTTAAATGTTTCTAATGTGCATGCCAATAACCTGACATTACCTCCTAGAAACACACTATGTTGCTGTTGGCTAGAAATTTTCTAATACAATTAGTGAATATGAATACAAATACTTAAAATAATGTGATAATCATAGATTTAATAGTGATTCAATAAAGTATTCCAGTGATTGAAAGAATACAGGGAACTGATAATAAAAAAATCAACACATTTTACCAAAAAAGGCTCTTGATATGTTAATCCTGAAGCCTGAAAATTGGAATATTTCAATTTCTAGGATATATATGTATATATGTATATGTATATCATGGATTTTTTCAAAATATGCCATTTTATAGGTCAGAGAGCCATATATAATATCTTTCATGTCTTCACATATGCACTGATTCTTTTTACTTCTCATGTTTGTAATAATCATTCTATGAATTTGCAGGAGTATTTCATTTTGGATATAATTTTAGAAGACAAAAAATTTTTATTTGAGCATTTTTCATGTGACTGTTAGCTTCTTCTTATATATTTTATTGGTTTTAACGTTTATTCATTTGCTGATACTTTTTATTGAAAATATTTTCCAAACAATATGATCTAATTATGTTTTCCACTTCCTTGCTCATCTCCTCACAGGTCCTCCAGACCTCTCTGTCCTTCTATCTACATCTCAATGCCTTCATTCTCTCTTTAGTAAAACAGCAGGTAAATAAAACAAAAAAATAATAATGAAGGCACAAGAAACATATATAAGAACACACACATACACACACACACATATACACAAACATAAAAAGTTAATGTCAGAAATGACATATATATGCAAAAGACCTGTCAGGTAAAAGTTATTATGCACAGGGTTCAATATGTGAATGTAATTTCACTCAGCTATAGGTGGGCATCCAGTTTTTCTGGCATCTTGTATTGAATAATTTGTCTCTTGTCTCTGTTATGTATTTTAGGCATAATTGATGGGAACTTCTTTTTTATTCCAGTGGTATACTTGTCTCTTTCTGTGCCTGCACCAAGTTGATTCAGTCTATAGCTTTAAATATTGAATTTAAATCCCACCAAAGTTCTTCATTTACCACATAATTTCATTTGCTATCCTGGCTCATTCATTGTTCCAAATGAACTTTAAGATGGATTTGCCTAATTTGAAAAATTGCATGGTGCTTTTATTGGAATTTCATTGATCCTATAAATTGATTTTGATAGCATAATCATTTTTACAATATTTGTACATGATCATGGGAGGTCTTTCCATTTTCTTATGTCTTCCCTCATCTCTTTCTTCTGGGAGTTTAATTTTCATTGTAGATGATTTTCACCTCCTTTCCTTGCTTAATCACAGTTTATTATATGCCAATAGGAGTGCTATTATGATTCTTTTCTCATTATGTATATTTTTAGTGTATAGAAAGTATCATAAGTTTATTTTAAATTTTGCTTCTGCTGAAAGTGATGATAATTTCTCTAAAATTTTATGTGGAAAATTTTTAGGATTCCTTATACATATCATTATCATGTACCAATAATTACACTTTTACTTCCTTTTCTTTTTGTTTTTTTGTTTTTGTTTTTTTTTTTGGTTTTTTTTATTTTGGTTTTTCGAGACAGGGTTTCTCTGTATTGTTTTGGAGGCTGTCCTGGAACTCGCTCGGTGGACCAGGCTGGCCTCGAAATCACAGAGATCCGCCTGCCTCTGCCTCCCGAGTGCTGGGATTAAAGGCGTGTGTCACCAATGCCTGGCATCCTTTTCTTCTAGAATCCCTTTATTTATACCTCTCATTTTGTTCATTGCTCTGATTAGTACTCCAAACACTGTATTAAAAAGGAGTGAGTACCAGGAAGCAGGGTGTACCCCTTTAATCCCAGTACTCAGGAAGCAGATGCAAGCAGATCTCTGTGAGTTCAACCCTGAATATGAGCCCTTGCAGTTTTACTTTTACCTTTTCTTTAAGGGAGATTCACAAAATGGTGCTGGCAGAACAGGTTGCTGGCATAGAGAAGAATGCAGATAAATCTATATCTATTGCCATGCAATAAAACTAAGTCCAAATGGATGAAAGACTGCAACATAAATCCAGCCACACTGAACCTCTTAGAAGAGAAAGTGGTAGGTATCCTTGAACGAACTGTTACAGGAAACCCCTTCCTGAACATAACAGCAGTATCACAGATACTGACACTGACATCTACAATTAATAAATGGAACTTCCTGAAACTGAGATGCTTCTGTAAGGCAAAAGTCATAGTCAACAAGTCAAAATGGCCACCCACAGAATGGGAAAAGATATTTACCCCATACCTGACAGAGGATTGATGTCCAAAATTTACAAGGAACTCAAGAAGATAGTCTCCAAAGCACCAAATAATCCAATTAAAAGGTGGGGTACAAAACTAAATAGAGAATTCTCAATAGAGGAGTTTAAAATGGCTGATAGACACTTAAGAAAGTATTCAACATCTGTAGCCATCAGGGAAATGCAAATCTAAACAACTCTGAGATACCATTTTACTCCTGTCAGAATTGCTAATGAAAAACACCAATGATGATTTATGATAGAGAGGAAGTGGAGAAAGGAGACTATTCTTCCACAGCTGGTGGGAGTGTCAACTTGTGCAGCCACTTTGGAAACCAGTATGGAGATTCCTCAGAAAAATGGAACTCAGGCTACCACAACACCCAGCAATTATACTCTTAGGCATATAACCATAGCTTCACATTCACATAACAAGGACATCTGTTCCACTATGTTCATAACAGCATTATTTGTAATAGCTGGAAACTGGAAGCAACCTAGATGCTACTCAATTGAAGACTGGATAGAGAAAATGTGATACATTTACACAATGGAGTACTACTCAGCCGAAAAAAACAATGGAATTTTGAAATTTGCAGGCAAATGAATGGCAGTAGAAGAAGCAACTGTGGGGTAACACAGTCACAAAAATACAAACATGGTATGAACTCACTCACATATGGATTTTACACATGGAGGAGGGTATTGCTAGCCTACAATCCCACCACCAGATAGTGTGGGAAACAGAGAAGACCCAAAGAGACATATGAATGGTACCCTGGAGAATGGGAGTGGGGAGGGATCTCCTGAGAGGATTGGGAGCATTGTGGGAGGGGAGAGGCATCTGGGAGAAAAAGAAGAGTAGAAGAGGCGGGGAGAGCAGGACAAGAAGAACAGGAAGGTTGAGTGGGGTTGGGGGGAATAGTGGGGAGCAGGTTGAGAGATAACATAATATAGTGAGCCAGTATAGGTCTGAGAACAGATATGGCACTAGCAAGATTTCCAGAGATCTACAAGGATGACACCAACTGGCAATCTAAGCAATAGTGGAGAGGCTACCTTAACTGCCCTTCTTCAATAATGAGATTGATAACTACCTTATATGCCATCTTAGAATCTATATCTAGTGGATGATGGAAACAGAAGCACTCACAACTAACACTGAACTGAACCCCTGGAACCGTGTTGTAGAGAGATAGGAGTGATGTGCAAGGGGGTACAGACTGGGCTGGTGAAATCCACAGAAACACAGAAACACCTGACCTGGACAATGGGGAATCATGTACCAGCATGAGACTGGTCCAGATCCCCTGAACATGGTGCTAGTGAGGAGGGCTAGGCAATCTATGGGCCCTCTTGTAGGGTAGTAGATAAGTATTTATCCCTAGATTACAAATGGACTTTGGAAGTCCATTCCACATGGAGGGACACATGATGGAGGGCCCTGCCCTGGATGGTATGACAGACTTTGGAGATTCTCCATGGAGGGTCTCACCCTCTCTGGGGAGCAGAGGGGCAATGGGGTGGGGGGTTAGGGAGGCTGGTAGGGGACATGGAGGAGGGGAGGGAGAGGGAGCTGGGATTGAGATGTGAAGTAAGTTTGTTTATAATTTAAATAAATAGATATAATAATTAATTAATAAAACAATGCTACCAGACTTTCAAAGTAGAGTTAATACCAGTACTCTTCAAATTATTCCATAAAATTGAAACAGAAGAACATTGTCAAATATATTTCGTGATCCCACAGTCACCCTGTTACCCAAACTGACAAAGAGTCTACAAAGAAAGAAATCTCCAGATCAATTACCCTTATGAACATTGATCCAGAAACAGTCAATAAAGCACTCACAAACTGAATCCAAGAACACTTAAAATGATCATCCACAATGATGAAGTAGTCTTCATCCCACAGATTCAGAGATGGTTCAATGTAAGTAAAGACTGCAATATAATTCACCATATCAACAAACTGGAAGAAAATTATAAAAAATAATTATCTCAATTAGATGCTGAGAA